CATGATGTAATCTATGCAGAAATAGAAGTACAATGATGTACACCTGAAATTTTTACAATGTTATAAACCAATGTTACTGCAATAAACAAAAATTTAAAATAAAAAAAAAATAGAACAGGGAATCTCAAAACTTGATTCCAAAGCATGACTTTAAGTATGAACTCATAATACTAAACTGCTCCAATGTCACAGATAAAATAAGATAAAATAAAACGTAAGCTTTCTTCTTCCAATCTGAACAGAAAAATTTTGGATATGTACAACCCCCAGTATTATAGTCTACAACTTCCCCCATGATTTCAGAACTTGTGAGATCATGACAATACTCCTAACTCTCCCTTGTCAAATTTAGAGGATATTTCCTCTTACTGTATTTGGTCTTGATTCAAATTAGCTAAGGCAGATTCCAAATGAGTTGTGTAATAAGGGAATTATATCGTTACAGGAAGGTGCCATGTCTCTATGGTTAACATCTTGGCAACATTTCTCTAAAGACGTCTGAGGAAACAAGAAGCAGACTAGTAGTGTCTGAACAAATAATCTTAAACCTGATCAGTTCAGTAGTTTAGGACATTTTTCAGAGCCTGGTAATTGGCTAATCTCATCGTAAGTAAGAAAGATCAAGAGCAGAGGTTCCTAGCAAGGGCCATGTCATAATCTCTTGTAGTATATTTTCAAATTCAAATGCTGGCACCACTCCTGGAGAGTATAACTCTGATGTGCACCCCAGCTGAGAACTACTGAACACCACAAATTAATGCCAATTAAAAATCCTTGAAAAGAGAAAATGAGTTCTGAATTTCCAGCCTCCCAGGGTCAATATATGTTAGAATGTTAAGTGAGGAGAGGTCTGAATTATGAGGAAAACCCTGAGAGACTACTCTCAGAAACATACCACACCATCCAGAGGAGGCATAATTCCTTAAAAATGCAAGGAAATATAGCTCATCAAGTTCTAGTCATTAAATATGTATAGCTATTTACACATCATTCATTCCTTAATAAAGTGGTTAGAAAAAGTACAATGAAATATGCATTTCTTCTCAGCAGAACTAAATGGGAAATATAACTCACTTTGTGATTATAAATTCTGAAACGTTTCTTGTGTGAAATGAATTGAGTATATTAAATTCTTTACAAGAGATTTTCCTTCTTTCACTGGCATGCACTTAGAATTTTGGTTTAACTTTTTCTCCAAAATAGGGCCAACGGTTTTAAGGAGTGTAACGTGTTAAGGATGTAATGTGTTTTTTTTTTTTTATCTTTAATTTTTTGTTTATTGCAGTAACATTGGAATATAACATTGTATAATTTCAGGGGTACATAATTATACTTCTATTTCTGCATGGATTCCATCATTACATCATGTTCACCACCCAAATACTAATTACAACCCATCACCACACACATGTACCGAATTATCCCTTTCACCCTCCTCCCTCCCCCCTTCCCCTCTGGTAACCACCAATCCAATCTCTGTCCCTATGTGTTTGTTTATTGTTGTTATTATCTACTACTTAATGAAGGAAATCATACGGTATTTGACCTTCTCCCTCTGACTTATTTCACTTTGCATTATACCCTCAATGTCCATCCGTGTTGTCACAAATGGCTGGATTTCATCGTTTCTTATGGCTGAGTAGTATTCCATTGTGTATATATACCACAGCTTCTTTATCCATTCGTCCCTTGATGGGCACTTAGGTTGCTTCCAAGTCTTGGCTATTGTGAATAACGTAATGTGTTTTAACGAAGAGCTAAAAACATGAGTTAAATCTGTCCTAATTTAGGATATTAAGACACATACATACATACATGTGCACATACACATACACACATGCACTTTTTTCTGATATCTTAAATTACCTATACTTGATATAACATTTATTTTCCAAGTGATTTCAACGTAGTTATTCTTGTGTCTTCATGTAAAATATAATTGCCTAGTTACTAAGTTATTGATCATGAACACAATAGGGAATGATGCCAATGAATTCTTCTGTGCAGGAAAGTTTATTAGAAAGCACAGAAGCAACAAAACATAAGGTATTCACTCCAGGAGAAAATACAAGGTGTACCTGTACCCCCAGGTCTGAGGGTGTCAAATCAGCGCCCCGCAGGGGCTGCAGATCGTGTCCATCTTGATGGAAGGGTAATCTACAGCCCCAACGTGATAAGGAAGAATGAGAACTTTAGAGGATTGGTACAGTTTCTTAGCTGGTGGATTGCAAATTAATTCATATTTGGTGCCAATATTGAAAGGAAAATATAGCAAAGGAGAAAGTTTAAAATGAACCAGAATGTGCTCACAGTCAGTGGGACGGTGGTGGGCTCCTTGGAATCACGAGGCCCAACCCGTTGAATGACATCAACCAGACTCTGTGTGTCCTAATGGTCAACACAAAAGGAGGATCTACATCTGTGAAGACATGAGTAAACGGAGATGGTGGTCACGGGGCAGGGGGCTCAGCAGCAAGAGGAGGGGCAGCACACAGGGCGGGGGCAGGTGGAGATGACACAAGTAGGGCGATAGCAAGTGATGTGGCAGGAGACCCGGCCACAGACTGGGTGGAGGCAGCAGGAGGGGCGGCAGCAGCTAGACACACTGCAGCTGGGGTGGCAGCAGGTGGTCTGGCAGCAGCTGGGACGGCAGCAGGTGGGCTGGCAGCACACAGACGGGCAGCACTGGGGCCTGCGGCAGCTGGACACACTGCAGCTGGGGCAGCAGCAGGTGGTCCTACAGCAGGTGGTCTGGTAGCAACTGGGGGGGCAGCAGGTCTCCTGGCAGAGGCCTTGGCCACAGCCCTGGTCAGAACAGACGGAGCCACAACAGGAGCTGACCATGGTGTCGGAGGTTGGAGGTTCTGGGTGGGTTTCTAGTAGAGTGAGGTTCTTAAGTCTGGGAATCTCCTTGGCTCACATCCCTCTTTATACCCTGCTAAAGGGCTGCTATCACCATGTCATTATTTCCTTGTTATTGTTTACTTTACTGGAAAACTTCATCATTTAATTACATAATTGTGTGTTTCTAGTTAAATAGTCCAAAATGGAGAAAATAACTTAGCATTTCCTTTTCCTGGTGTACTCCCATGTTGCCAATTGAAAGATTTGTCACATCTCTTCCTTAGTGGGTGACCACTTTGTTTCTGGTGGTTGTAGTGTCTTTTACAATGCACTCGTCACATGACTCTGACGCTTTTTTTTTTTTTTGGTAAGGAAGATTAGCCCTGAGCTAAGATCCATGCCCATCTTCTTCAACTTTATATGGGAGACGCTTGCCACAGCATGACTTGATAAGCAGTGTGTAGGTGTGCGCCTGGGATCCGAACCCGAGAACCCCAGGCCATGCCCCATGCCTGAAGCAGAGCATGCGAACTTAAACACTATGCCACCGAGCTGGTCCCTGACTTTTTTTTTTTTTAATATGACATTTCCTCCTATCTGACACTACTCCCTGAAAATCATGGAGAATGGTTCTTATAATGCTAAAATATCTTTTGTTGTCAAAGATGAGGGGCACATGTGCTGGTCTGGTGAAATTCTGGAAAGAAATTAGAAAGAAAGACCCATCTGGGGGGAAAGTGTCTCATCTATAATGAGGATGACTGTGAGCCTCTGTGGGCATCTTGGATGGTCAGGGAGATGGTTGGACCCCCAGGAAGTTTCAAGCTCTGTGCCAGATCTTATTCCACTGTCTCAAGCTGCAGCACTTAGCAATGACTCACTGCTTTTAAGTAGTAAAAACACATTATTGCTGTACTTCTTCCAGGATAGGCATTAAGAGAGGGAAGTTTTGGTTTATCTTCTGATTGTCAAACTTGCACAGTGGATATTTCATTACAGAAGCATTCATTATATGTAAACAGTATTTAGGATTATTAAGCTTCGATAACACATATCCAAGCCATTCTGTTGGCTACAATGGGGGCGTAACAGATAAACCCTCATGTCTTTCCTGTAGGTACTTGAATAAGACACATGCGTAGGAAGTGGAGTTTGGCAACAATTGAAAGAATGACAGTTACTTTCGTTAAAGAACTAAAATCGAAATATATACTATGTGGATAAGTTCCATATACCCTCAGTGAAAGGTGAGGAAATTCTAACATCTATCATTTATGAAGTGTTCACTATGTACCAGGCATTATGCTGAATATATTTATTTTTTAATCTTTAATGCAACCCTATAAAGTAGTGTATATTCTTAATGCTATTTTAGTGGAAAAGACAAAAGGAGCATAGAGAAGTTAAAAGAATAAAAAAACTCGTGCAAGATTAAACAGAAAATAAGCTTGTCTTAGTCTTAGACTAGTCAAGGAAGGGGTGAAAAAAACTTGCAAGAGTTTGCTGAAGCTCTTTCATTTTGCTGGAATGTTTCTTTTTCATCTCTGCAAACTCCTATTCATCTCTCAAAACCCAGCTGAAATGCTTCCCCCTCAATGATATAATTATATCATTCCTGACAAACTACCCCATTCATATATAATTCTTCCATGCCTTGTGCTCTAATTTAGCACACTCACAGTTATTTGTTTCTGTCCTTCCCCCATTCCAATGCAGATACCCTGAAGGTATGAGCTATGACATTTTGTTACCATGGTGCTCTGCTGGGACAGAGCACACTAGTGATAAATGTTTGTTGAGTGAATGAAGGTTTTTTGATGCCATGGGGGCATATCATGGTCCTTTAAAAATATGTATCTTTTGACTGATGGAGAAAAGAGGGAGAAACATTCCAAACAAAGGGCTCCTAGTTACAGTTGAGGAAAGTCACATTTATTTATGTGGTAAGTAACGTGTCATCTGATTAATAATGTATGTGGAAAGTTGTGGAAGTTAAGATTCGATCTATGGAATGACTCTTGTTGTTTACAGATAACCATAGATACTGTGCTTAGTACACTTGCCTACGTTCACACACAGAACAGATAGGAAGGAGATAAACACCAAATGGTAACACTGGTTCTCCTTAACCTCCTGACTTCCCAGTTTTGCTCTTTTTGCTGGAAATAACCACTATGACTGGTTTGATGTCAATCAGCCAAAAGTATCTGCTGAACATCTATTGTCTTAGCTTGAATTCCAACCAAAGCCGACTGTGAGACAAAGACATGAGCACAAGTAGTTTACTTGGGAGGTGTTCCTGGGAAGCGGAAGGAAGGAAGTGGAGGAAAGTAGACAGGAGAGGAAGAAAAACCCAGAAAGTTTGCATGCATGATGGCGTTACCACTGTGGGCAACTGGGGAAGAAAGCTGGGGACATGCCTGAGGCCGGAGGTAGTTAGCGGCCGTGAGCATATGCCTGGAAAATCCCAGAGAATCAACTGAGGCCTAATGCTAACAGCAAGGTCGGACACAAGGCAGACTCATAAAATCAATAGATTTCTTATGCACCAGCAATATTCCTCTGTAAAATGTAAAGGAAAAAACGTACTCACAGTTCTCAACAATAAACATAAAAAAATATGTCAGTAAATCTGCTAAGCACTACACTTGGCCTGTATGGAGGAAAGCCTGAACATCTCCTGAAGGACATAAAATATTCTTTGAATAAACGTCTGAACAAGAAATGTCCAGGCAAAGCCAGGTTTGTGAATAAATACATAGGTGTGATATAAATGCATTTAATAAGGATGTACCTCCATTGTAACAGTGCGTCTTCATGGGACTGGCAAAGACTAATGAAGGGAACTCACTTCTGATCACATGCTTTTGTGTTATTTAAATTTTTAAAAAGCCTGTGTTTGTGTATAAGTGATATAAAAGTCCGTTGGAAAGAATCATTTTGATTTATATAAAATTCACAACTTTCTCTGTTGATTCAGTTAAATATGTATTCTGCTATTAGGTTTATAGTCCTACTTATCATGCACTAAAAGATTAAAAGTACATTTCAGTTAATCATTCCAGCTCTCCAATTAGCTATCATGAATTCCATATTGGTTTGGGGGACAGTTTGGGTTCTCTGGAAGCAGACACTGAGATGGAGGTTGGCAGGCAGGAGCTTTGTTGAGGGGCGCTCTTGGGATTAACACCTGTGGAAGGGAAGGGAATGAAGCAGGATTGGACACGGAGAAATCAAACTGCGATACAGTCTCGGTAGAGGTCTCAGCTGACTCTCCTGAGAGTGACCCCGGAAAGGGGTCTCTTGGCCAAAAACTCAGCAATACATCTGAACTTCCACCAGGCCTGCTCCATTCATTTACATCACCTGCCTGGCGCTGAAGCCAGCCCCTCTATAAGGCGGAATAAATCCTCCCCTGAAGCTCTGACTGTCAGAATAAAGCAGAACCATGGTGTATGTGGAGGAAGGATTCATTGCATGTGACTCTAAGTAGAAAGTACATAGACTTTGCTAAGCTATCTATTGGCTGCTTTTATGGGTTAAAAAAACTGAAAGCTGATATATTTTAAAAATCATGAATTGTGATCAATCTTTCCAAAACTTTTCCCTGTTGCTATATTCATGGTGTTCCATGATGTTAGTTTCACTCTTTTTTTATGAAGACAAGAAAATGATTAGCTGATTTGCCTGAGACTAAAATGACTTTCTAGAGAAAACTAGGCAGTGACCAATGCCATTTGGCCTCTACTGGAGGTTGACTAATTTGTGCTGACAGGTGTTGGCAAAATATGATTACCCAGGACCCAAATATAAAACCTTTGAAAAAAGAGAGTAACAGGGGCCGACCGTGTGGCGTAATGGTTAAGTTCGCACACTCCACTTTGGCGGTCCGGGGTTCCCAGGTTCAGATCCCGGGCGTGGACAGGTGCACTGCTTGTCAAGCCATGCTGTGGCGGCGTCCCATATAACGTAGAGGAAGATGCGCACGGATGTTAGCCGAGGGCCAATCTTCCTCAGTAAAAAGACAAGGATTGGCAACGGATGTTAGCTCAGGGCTGATCTTCCTCACAGAAAAAAAAAAAAAGAAAGACAGAGAGAGAAAGAGAGTAACAATCACATTCAATTTTCAGTTCCAATAGAAAGAGATTTATTTTGGTACATGGAAATAACAAGATATAAGAAAATATTTGCAAAGGAGTACACAGAAAGACTTCATTGGACTTCCATGTCAGAGGGGTTAAAATCTGTGGCCCCACAAGTGATGGAGACAATCTTTAAATTCCTTGAGCATGAAGAATGGATGCCCTGAAGGCAAAGGGAGGAAAGTTGTGGGTATTTAATTTATTAGGAAATTCTAAATGAATTCATTTGGAAGGAAGGGAGTTTGGACAGAAGTTGGAATGAGGACACAGAATTAATAGGACTGGGGTTTGCTTGTGGGACTCAAGAGATCAATTCTCTTAAGCACTCCACATTTTTGAAAAGGAGGGTCTGCATCTGTGGGGAGGGAGGCAGTGAGGAAGTGCTGTGTTCAAAGCAGAGATTCAGCAGCAAGGGGAGGGGCAACACACGGGACGGGGGCAGGTGGAGATGACACAGGTGGGGCGATAGCAAGTGGTGTGGCAGGAGACCCGGCCACAGACTGGGCGCAGGCAGCAGCGGGGACGGCAGCAGCTGGAGCCACAGCAGCTGGGGTGGCAGCAGGTGGTCCTGCAGCAGGTGGTCTGGCAGCAGCTGGGGCGGCAGCAGGGCTCCTGGCCACAGCCTTGCTCAGGGCAGAGGGAGCCACAACAGGAGCTGACCATGGTGTCAGAGGGCTGAAGCTCTGGGTGGCTTTCCAGGAGAGAGAGGTTCTGGAGCGTGATCTCTCCTTGCCCTCTGTCATTTTTACACCCTGCTGAGGGCTATTGTGACCATGTGCAGGACTCTTCTTGTTGTTGATTGTCCTAATGGAAAATCAGTTAGTCTTAGTAAATTATACAACTGTGTTTATCTGGTAAATATTCCTATAAACAAAAAACGCACCATTTCCTTTTCCTGTTATTATGAGCTATCTGATTTGGTTACAGCCAAATAAATCAGCTCCCATATTCCTTCCCTTGTCTGATATGTCTTTAGAGTAGACCTAGTATATGATGTTGTTTCACTGGATTTCACATGTGTTAATTCTTCGTTCATGTATTTCACTCCAGGATAATATGTTGAGAATGGATTTTGTGATGACTAAATCTCCTCTGCTGTCAAAGAGGTTAAGAGCAAGTCACAGGAAATGCTGGTAGGAATGGTAGGAATAGGATGAAAGACCCATCTTGGAGGAAGGGCAGTCACTTGTGTGCAATGAGGAACACTGTGATTCCTTTGGATTTCCTAGATGGTCAGTGAGGTGCAAAGGATCAAAACAAAGTTCCTATCTGTTTTGTCTTATTGAATCTGTTCAATTTGAAACAGTTACAATGCAATGATTCACTACTTTTAAGTAGTAAAAATGCATTGGCATGATTTGTCCTTTTTAAAATTATTAAATTATTGTTGACGTATTCTTCAGAGATAGGGTATCATAAGGGAGTATTTTTTATCTTATTTTGGTAGGTCAGCATACCCAATGGAATATGTATAATTAAATATTTTCTTATATTCTGAGCTATTGCCTCTCAACAAGATATATTTGAGATATTTTGCTTGATATAAATGAGATATAGGGGTTAATCTTTAATCTCTGTCCCATAGACACTTGAATAAGACAAAGGAGACACATGCATAGGAGTTTGGCACTAATTAGAGCACTATGTGATTAGTAAACAAAATAATTATGTATTTAAATCCATATACTTCTTATGAAATATGAGATAATACTAATAGTTACTATTTTTGAGTGTCTACTGTGTGTCAGGAATTTTCTGAGTTCTCTCTAATTGTTATCTTGCTTACACTTCACAAGGACTCTATGAGGTAGACACAATTTTTCTGAATTCTTTAGACATGAAGTCACTGAGGCTTAGACAGATTGAAGTCACACTGAAGTCAGTAGGGAAGGTGGTTCTCTCCTAGAATCTTCAAAGAAGGTATGAAGAACAGTAAACCCATGTCATTTCTCATGCTGTTTCATTTGTGTAAATATACTTTCTCCCTTGTCAACTCAGCAAACTCGTGTTCATACTCAAATGTCCAGTCCAGATACCAACTCATCTCTAATATCTTTCTTGACATCTACCCCATTCAAAATGAACTCTTCCCTCCCTCTTGTTCCCAAATATGCCTGTGGTCTAGGGTATCACACTTTATCATAATTGGTTTATATCTCTATTTCCCATCTTTCTGTATACCCCCTGAGGTCAGAGACTGTCTTATTCACATTTATAAATATGGTGCCTAGCAATTGCACTGAGTGAATGTGGGATTTATTGAAAACATGGGGCATTTATTCACCCTATAACATACTATAGATAATCTAGATGGATGGAGAAGAGAAGAAAGAACATTCACATAGGGACAGAGATTGGATTGGTGGTTACCAGAGGGGAAGGGGGGAGGGAGGAGGGTGAAAGGGATAATTCGGTACATGTGTGTGGTGATGGGTTGTAATTAGTATTTTGGTGGTGAACATGATGTAGTCTATGCAGAAATAGAAGTATAATGATGTACACCTGAAATTTTTACAATGTTATAAACCAATGTTACTGCAATAAACAAAAAATTTAAAAAAATAAAAAGAACATTCAGGCAATGGAGACATGATAGAATGAAAGTATATTTTTGGCTTTTGATGGAACAAATGACTTGTCTGGATGGTGTGTGTAGGAGAGTAGAGAAATATAGTACTCCATTGATAGAATGAGAAGAATGTAAGGATATTCTTGAATTTATACAAAGAAAGGGGATATCATATCATCACACAGTTGGGAGAAAAGTGTGAGCACATATCTAGGCTTTTAAAATATTATTTGGCTGGGGGTGGGTGGAGTGACAGGAAGCAAGAAGAAAGTTTAGGTGGTGGTTGCAGTCTGGCAGTGAGAGATGAATGCCTGTTTAGGTGGGTGACAATGATGTGGTAAGGAAGATATTGATGCAATATTTCAAGGAAAGTCAACCGGAACCACTTACAGAATGGGCAATAGCGGTATCAGGAGACCTCATCATTGAAGAAGGCTCATAATTTAATATTTTTTCAGTTGTATATACACACATTTTGCACTTAAATTCTGATAGCAAAAAGACAATCATTTGTAATAAAAATTACATAGAAAAAATACCATAAATAAAGTAAAAAGACAAATGACAAATGAATACAAATATTTGCAATATATACCAAAGATAAAGGGTTAAGGGCCTTAATATATAAAGCACTTTTAAAATTAGATTAGCAAAAAGGCCAAAAGTCTGATGGAAAAATAAAATGAAATCATTCTTCACCATATAAAGATATCCAATCTCATGCATAAGAATAGAAATGAAATAATATGGAATACCACTTCTCACCTGTGAGACTGTCAAAAATTTAGACTTTGACAGTATTGTCTAATAGCGACACTATGTGGAAATAGGCATGCTCATAGTTTTCTCTTGAAGATTTGACAACAAGCAGCATTATTCTTTGACTCAGCTATCCCAATTCTGTAAATTATCCAAAAGGTACTCAGGCAAAAATAGGAAGAGATGTTACACAAGATTATTCACAGCGGTGCTATTTGTAAAAACAAAACAACAACGATGAAAACCAGATACCACCCAGGGGTCCTTCAACAGGGTCCTGGGGAATAAACTGCTGCATTCCCCAGGGTGGAGTATGATTTAGTGGTAAAAAGGGATGAGGAGTCTCTCTATATGTTGCCGTGAAGTAATCCCCAGGATATGTTGTTCAGAGACAATAAAGCAGATGAAGAAAAGTGTCTGTGGTGTTCTACAATGTGTCTAAAAACAAGGGAACAAATATAGAAAATATATTTGCTTACATTACATTATTTTTTTAATAATGAAAGAATAAAGAGAGAGGAGATGAGAAAACAAGAAAGAGGGGCTTACACTTCCAGCCGAGATGGACTAACAGCGGTTGGATTTACCCTCCTGCCTGAAACAACTGAAAAGGCAGGCAAAAATAAGTTAAACAATGGTTTTAGACGTTGGCCATTAGGCAGGGAAGAAAACGGGCGCATTAGAGAAAGGAAACAAATGAGGTGATCCTTCGGGTTGCCTCAGTTTATTTGTTGAAGAGAGTTTCTGGGGTGCAGCTCCGGGAGAGAGAACCAGATAGAGCCAGGTAGTCATCCTGACTTGAGGAGATGGAGGTGAGATGAAGGAGGCCAAGATAGCTGGAATTCACAGGGCAGAGTAGCAGAGAGGAGAGAGTTACAGAGAACCACAGAGATCTGCAGAAGGTCCACCTGAGTCTTCAGCTGAGTACTGATGAGGGCGTGTGTGTGAAGAAATTACCTAAGGACAGAGAACCCAACCCCATAAAAGGCAGAGGGAACAATCCTTGGAGCTGACACAGGGCCAGAAATAGTACATACTCCCATACGCCGGAGTGAAAAACCTCATAATTCTCGGTTCATTGGTTAGAGGCCTCTGAAGAATATTGTCTCAGGAGTGGGGCAGATTTTTCCCTAGACTGAAAGCTGCTCCGGCCCCACCTCACACAGCTTATAAGCAAGTCTTGAAAGGATCAAACTGTTAAGTCAACTTAATTGGATCCCAGAACAAGCAATTAATTGGACTCCAACAAAATAAAAAATTTTTACTCTTCAAAAGATACTATTTAGGAAGTAGAAAGGTAAGCCACACACTTGGAGAAAATACTTACAAAATGTATATCCAACATGATTTGTATATAGAACATGTAAAGAACTCGTACCACTCAATAATGAGATAAACAACACAACAAAAAATGGGCAAAAGATTCGAACAGACATTCACCAAAGAAAATATACAAATGGCAAATAAACCCATGAAAAGACGTTTAACATCATTAACCATTAAGGAAATTCAAGCTAAAACCACAATGAGATAACATTGTACACTCTCTGGAATGGTTAACATTAACAAGACTGACCTTACCAAGAGCTGGTGGTAATGTGAAGCCATTGGAACTCTCATACAAAGAAGGAACATAAAATGGCACAACCACTTTGTAAAACAGTTTGACAGTTTCTTGAGATAAAGATACACCTACCATGTGACCTACCCATTCCACTCTAAAGTATTTACCCGAGAGAAATAAATGCGTAAATCCACAAAGACTTGTTTGCAAATGTTCTTGGTGACTTTATTTGTAAAAGAAAAAAATCTGGAAACAAGTGTCCACCAGCAGATGAATGGATAAACAAATGTGGTATGTCCATACGATGACTACTTTTCAGTCATAAAGAGAAATGAACTGGTGATACACGACAATGTGAATCTCAGTGTAATTATGCTGAATGAAAAGCCAGACAGAGTACACAATATAGGACTCCATTTATATAAAATTCTAAAATGTGTAAACAAATTTATAGTGACAGCAAATCAGTAGTTGCCTGGGGGAGGGGATGGGAAGGAATTACGAAGGGGGCGAGGGATGTTCATTATCTTAATGGCGGTGTTGGTTTCATGAGTATATATCAAAACATCAAATTGTACACTAAGTATATGCAGTTTTTGTATATCAGGTATACCTTAATAAAGCTGGGAAGAAAAGAAAAAAATAATGGAAGTATCAACCGTAATTTTTTTTTCAAATTGACCAAGAGAAGGTGGAGTGGATGAGGAGGAGAAGACAGGGATAGAAGCTAAGTTTCTTTGAATATCCCTTGTTCTGTAGCTTTGACTTTAGACCCATGTAAATATTTTAAATAATTATAAAAAGCAATTAAAAATTTGAAAATCTCTCAAAATCACTAAAACAACAATAACAAAGGAGTCTAACTGTATATCGAGGCATAACTTCAGAAAAGCAACTACTCCAGGATGAAAAAAATAAATAAATAAATAAATAAAACAACTGAAAAATGAACTTAAGCTTGTTTTCAGTAACCATATTGCTGTTATTAGTACATTCATGCATTACTTAACCATGGGGACACTTCTGAGAAATGGTTGTTAGGCAATTTTGTCTTGCAAACATTATAGAATGTACTTACACAAACCTAGATGGTATAGGCTACTATACCTCTAGGCTGTATGGTACTCATTTTATGGGACCACCCTTGTATATGTGGTCGATCATTGACCAAAACATCATTATGTGGTACATGACTGTATTGGTAATGTTATTCTGAGACTGTTGGGCAAACATAGAATAAAGAAAATGAGTAATTACATTGGTGTTACTGAGAATTAGTATTTTTGGCATGGGAGAAATGAGATTTATAAGTAAGATATATGAGGTTAAGTAAAAATCTTGTCATTCTCAGTAGAAACTCATGACATGGTTTATCATTTAAATATATATTTTCTAGTTGTGAACATTGAAAAACCTGAAAGAAAAGGACTTAGTAATAATAAACATTCTCATATTTCAATTTATGGTCTCAATTACAGTTTTCTCCTTAAAGGAACTGGAGCTCCTTGGAGAAATGGTTGTTTAGAAGTTTGGGGAAGGAAATGTACAAATGAGTCTGGAATATCTTGTTATATCAAAAAAACAAGGAAATCTTGCAAGACTGCTAGATTCATGTCAAAAGGACTCGAAGGCCAACTTGAAGTTGCTTATCTGAGCATCAGTAAAGATATGAACTGGAATGGATTGGTATACCATCAAGTACATTGAAATCCATGAGTTCGTATTGGCACAAATTTAAAAAATAACACCTCTTTGGTCACCTTTGGAGGATGCAAACTGGTAAACAAAGGGAAAGAATCAAGCATTTATTTCGCCTTTCCTGTACATACTATTCCTCAGGATAACCAAATGTTGATGAGGGGAAGTTTCTCTTCATGGAATTATTCCAGCTAATAAAAGGTGGAGGAATTACAGAATTGCCATATCACAATTTTGCTATACCTAATGAAATAATGGTTCTAGGCAATGGTCATCAACAGCTGCGAACATCACAAAAAGAGACAATCGGACAATGTGTGCCTCCTAACGGAAAAGCACACCACTATCTATGAAGCAGTCTCTGAGTCCTGCAGACCTTTTGGGGTGCAGTCTCCCATTAGCAGGTTCAGCAATTCTCTGGGTGCTTTGTGTTGTAACTTAACTCTAGTTATTGGTGACAAAGAGAGGTGGGAGAAGATAGTGAGGGTAGCTTGTGCTGTCTTTTAAGACTGAAGCTTCTGCGTCGTCTTCAGGAATGGAGGTGGCACTAAATGTTAACAGGGAAATTGGATCACCTCTGCAAGCCCAGAGAGTTCAGGAAAATTTGGGGGCTCAAGATCTTCAAGTGCATCAATCCAGATGCCCCCTGTCCCATATCTCAGGGTCCCATTCTTTCTCAGTTAGGGCCCCGGCCTTGACAGGGCAGAGCTGCCTAGGCTGACAGAATGACCACCTCAGGAGCTCTGCTACTCTTATGATTAAGTCCTAGGCTTGGTCCTCAGCTTTATCTGCTCTCGAGCTGCAGGAGATGAGAGTCCCTGTCTATGCTGCCAATGAAACCTCTGGCTTATGCATCTATCCTTTAATTTCTGATTTATCACCCTCCGCCTTTCATTATGTTTTCCCAAATCATCAATTGCTCCCTGCTACAGACATCCAATTCCATTACCCTTATAATTACTAACTGTGTCCACAAATATGCAATATGGAAAAGATGTTGTCCCATAGAGCATTAACTGTTTATAGGTTTTCCAAAAAGTTTTTCTCTAATTTTTATGTATGAATTCCTGAGAATATCAAGTTTCTCTAAGAACTAAAGAGACTGCCAGTGAAGTCTAAGTTGTGACTAAGGTGCCTCAGCATCTATTGTAAAATTGACAAAGCCATGTTGTCTGTGCTACAAGTATAGGTAAAATACAGTTGTCCAGACTGCAGAGGAAATATTAAAGAAGAGTATCATCACACTGAATCTTCATACAGAAAAGTAGTGGTTTATTTCGGCATAGGGTTATAATAGAGAAAAAATGGGGGAATAAGAATTACAAAAGACAATTTTCATTGCACAATCAAGAGAGAGACTATAAAAATCTGTAGCATAGAAATACTGAAGTCAGACTTCAGCTCCTTGAGCTTGATGGCCTGGTGCCCAAAAGTTAAGAAGGAGAATTGGGGGAGAATTTGTCAATACAACAGTTGGTATGTTACAAGCAAATTCACACTTGGGCGAGAGGGAGAGGCCCAGAAGAAGCAGAATTTGGACTCGGGCCACAATGTGCTCACAGTGTTAGTGGGCCTGCGGTAGGCTCATTAAATTCATGAGACCCAACTCAGTCGAGCAACATCAACCCCACTCCATGTGTCCTAATGGTCAGCACAAAAGGAGGGTCTACAATGTGAGGACAGAGGTAAACAGAGATGGTGGTCACAGGGCAGGGGGCTCAGCAGCAAGGGGAGGGGCAGCACATGGGACGGGGGCAGGTGGAGATGACACAGGTGGGGCGATAGCAAGTGGTGTGGCAGGAGACCCGGCCACAGACTGGGTGCAGGCAGCAGGAGGGGCGGCAGCAGCTGGAGCCACAGCTAGAGGGCTGGCAGCAGCTGGAGATGCTGCAGGGAGGGGGACAGGAGCTGGAGATGCTGCACTGGGGCCTGCAGCAGCTGGACACACTGCAGCTGGGGGGAGAGCAGGTGGGCTGGCAGCAGCTGGAGATGCAGCACTGGGGCTTGCAGAAGCTGGACACACTGTAGCTAGGGCGAGAGCAGGTGGTCTGGCAGCAGCTGGAGATGCGGCACTGGGGCCTGCAGCAGCTGGACACAGTGCAGCTGGGGCGAGAGCAGGTGGGCTGGCAGCAGCTGGGGTGGCAGCAGCTGGAGAGGCAGCACTGGGGCCTGCGGCAGCTGGACACACTGCAGCCAGAGGGAGAGCAGGTGGGCTGGCCGCACACAGGCTGGCAGCAGCTGGGGCGGCAGCAGGTCTCCTGGCCACAGCCCTGCTCAGAGCAGACGGAGCCACAACAGGAGCTGACCATGGTGTCAACGGAAGGAGCGGGGTCCACAAGTGGGTAGCAGTGGGTTTCACAAAAGTGGTTTCTTGAGTTTGAGTGTCTCCTTACCCCTGTCCCCTTTTATACTCTGCTGAGTAGCTGATGTTACTGTGAGCAACACTCTTTCCTTGTTGTTTTTCCTTCTGGGAATTCAATTAACATTATTAAGTTACTAATTGTGTTTATCAGGTTAAACATGCCAGTATCTAAGAAAAGCATCATTTCCTTCTACAGTGTTATGATTCATTGAATCTTGTTAATCCAGGTGAAACCACTTTCCTGTTTCTTCCTCTGCCTAATGTGTCTTCCAAGTTGGGGCTATCATATGATATTCTATTCCTGAGTTTTTACATGTGTCACTTTTTTCCTTTTCTTTTCTATGACTCTGTGACAATATTTTGAGGATGGATATCACAAGGCCAAGTCTATTTTTAAGCCAAAGTGGAAAAATGCATGCTACTGTCAGGTGGAGTGCTGATAAGGAAATGGGAGGAAAGACTCATCATTGGGGTTACATACATACAATGGGGGGATCTGCGATATGGGGGGACTTGTGGACATTATACGTCTGTACAATGAGGGGAGACTGGGATCTGTTTCCTGGATGATCAGAGAGTCAGGAGGTTACAAAAGACGTTCCAATCTCATTGTAACCACTCTATCTCAAGAGTTTGTTTCTGTTTGCTTGTCTTTTGCTGAGGAAGATTTGCCCTGAGCCACCATCCGTGCCAATCTTCCTCTATTTTTTAGCATGTGGGCCACCAGCACAGCATGGCCACTTTATCCCCCAGGAATCTTCACATATAATATGCTAAAGGTGAGTGGGTTTGACCTATCTTTTGATAGGCCAACATATGCAACGCATTCTGCGTCATATAGAAGATTTCATTTAAACCATCTTTCTCTTGTACACTTTCAATAATCTGAATTCAAGTCATTCTGCTTAGATAAAGAGGATATAAACAGATAAGCCGTACTCTGTCCTATAGGCACTTAAATAAGATACATTAACAGCCAAGATTTTGGCAAATATTCAAAGCATCAAGAGATTAGGGTCCAAAACAAGCATTAAGTATTTAAGTCCCATGTACTTTCAGTGAAAAATGAGATAATATAGACAGCTGCTATTTGTGAGTGCTTGCCACGTGCCAGATATTCTGCTGAATGCTTTGTAATTATTGTTTTGATCTTTCTTCTCAAAGAACAACGAGGTACTCAATGTTCTCTTAGAGTCACATAGAAGTGAGTTAAGATTGTTAGATCCTGTAATAGTCTGTGAAGTGTGAGCAGTACTAACTGCTCACCTTTTATTGTGCTCTTATATCTCCTTAGAGCGTTCCTTCTCTCACATCAGCTCAGAAATTTCTTATTTTTCCTTTAAGTTCCAGCCCAGCTGCCTCCACGTCCCTTCTGTTTTCCTTGACATACCTTTATTTAAACCTCATCTGCTCCTCCTTCATGCCTGATGTCACATTGTGGAACACTCAGACTTCACACATCTGACTCTACCCTAAATGAATTTGCTGTCTGTCTCCAGCTGGATGGTAAACACTTGAGGTGGACTCTTGAACCATATCTTGTTATCATCAAGCATGGAATGGAATACTCCATCAGTGTTTTCTTTTTATTTCTAGGAATCTCTTCTTAAATTTAAATTTTTGAATTATGCAAAGTAATTATGATTTCAAAATAAATTCTACAAAGTGAAGCGTCTTTAAGGAAGTCTTGCTTCTACTCCTGTTCCTTCTGTGTGTGCCCTCCCTCCCCCACAGATAGTCGAATTTATAATCTAAGGTTTTCCTGCCAACTGCTATTTTAAATATAAATGTATTTGTGTTTGCATATTTGTAGCTCTTTTGCTGCTAAGATAAATGGTTGTATACTAACACACTTTGCTCCAACTTGCTTTTTTTCACTCAACAGTTGATCCCAGAGCTCACTTCACAGCAGGGTGTTCAGATAGTCTTCATTGCATTTTCAGCCACAAAGAAGTCCACTCTGTGGACGTAATATAGCTTGTTCAGCCAGTCCCCTATTGATGGACATTCGGGTTGTTTCCAGGCTTTCACTATTAAAATAGTATTGTGCCCTGAAAACAAGCAAGTGTTTTTTTTTTTTTTTGAGGGGGGTGGTGGTTGAGAGTTCATTGCACATCTATAAGATCTACTTTATTGATTTTGTTTAGGTATTTCATATTCTTATTAATTTTTCTCCACATGTTCTCTCTTTAAATACAAAGTGTGTTCAAGTCTTCAGTTATTTGTTTCTTTCTTTTTTATTCTCACATCACCTGTAGTTTCTGTTTCTGAAGTTTAGCTGTGCAGTTATATTTTCATGGTGGCCTTTACCATAATAAACTATCGCACCCTGTCTCCCGTAATGCTTGGTGTGTGACTCTGACTTGTTTGATATCAAAATTGTGGCCCCTGCTTTCTTTCATTTGCATTTTCTATGATGTATCTTCCTCTATTATTTTTTTTTTTGCTGAGGAAGATTGACCCTGGGCTAACATCCATGCCCATCTTCCTCTACTTTATGTATGGGAAACTTGCCACAGAATGGCTTGATAAGCGGTGCATAGGTCTGCACCCAGGATCTGACCTCGTGAAGCCTGGGCTGCGGAATTAGAGCACGAGAGCTTAACCATACGCCACCGGGATGGCCCCTGTCTTCCTCTCTTGTTTTACTTTTAACCTTCTGAAGCTTGTTGTTTTGGCTGTTTCTGTTGTCTAGAGCATAGTGTTGGGTGTTTACGTTTTAGCCTATCTGAAAAATCTTTTTCTTTTTCCCTGTGAGTTGAGCCTATTATGTGTATTGCTACGATCATTGATCAATATTTTTGGCTTTAAGTTTTATTATATATATAGTGATACACATATATAATATAATAAACAGTGATATATATAATGAATAATGATATACAACATATAGCGAATTATGTATATTATAATATACATGTTAAATAATTCCATCTCTAGCTCTGTTTCTAATATTTCCCTATTTATTTTATTCTCTCTCTCTTTCTCTCTCTCTCTCAGTGTGTCTTTTGATGTATAGAAAGGTTTGTATTTTGTACTACCAGTTACCTTCATACAAATTTCTTTATATAATACCCTATGAGTCTGATTTTTTGGCTATTGTCAGCTGATTCTCTACTTTCAGAAACATTGAAATTACCTAGTTACTTCTTCATCCCCTGCTCCTTCAGCATCAGATTTGAACCCCCAATTAATACTCAGAGGCAATCAGTAAAATTATTCCACTTTATTTATTCTCTCTCCTTGTCCTCCAATTTTTGATGATTGTACTACATCTACGTGGTCAGTACATAGCCGTTACACATCATATTGCCTGTCTCATGTTCATCACTCATTTTAGATCTACAAATAATATGTATGTACATTACGTATACACACATATATATCTATGTATGTCTATAGAATGCCCTCTGCTAGTCCTCGTGTGGATGTCCCTCCAGTATCTTCAGTCATTTAGGTTCTTGTGCTCGTTCACTAGTAAATTCCTCAGGACCGGCCATGGGCGAATATTCACTGAGGTCTGTCATGTTCACAGTAGTTTATCTGTGGCCTTTATACCTGGAGTTCAGTTTGGCTGGATATCAAATCCTTGGCTGACATTTTCTTTCTTCAGTGTCTTTAAAATGGAAGACTTCTGACATAAAGTGTTGCCATCAAAATGTGTGAACACAATCCACTTCTGTTTTCCTTACAACTGACGTGGATTTTTTGCCTACAACTTCAATGACTTTTTTCCTTTTTCTTTAAAATCCAGTAGTTTTAAAAAACTGTGTCCCAATTTTGAGCATTATGGGCTGCTTTTTCCAGGTGTATCCACGTGAACATTTATTTGAATTACAGTTCTTAGTCTTCATTCTGTTTCATAGCTTTGTTTTTCTTCTTTGAATATCTATTATAAATATTCTCTGCCTATTTTCTATGTCACTTTTTCCTGCAAAACGCTTTACGTCTTTCTTCATTTCATTTTTCAAGATTGCTTTGAAAAACTGAAAGCTGTCTCTCTAAGAACAGGAACCAGACAAGGATGCCCACTCTCACCACTCCTATTTAACATAGTATTGGAAGTCCTAGCCAGAGCAATCAGGCAAGAAAAAGAAATAAAAGGGATCCACATTGGAAAGGAGGAAGCGAAACTGTCACTTTTGCAGATGACATGACTTTATATATAGAAAACCCTAAAGAATCCACCAAAAAACTTTTAGAAGTAATAATTGAATACAGTAAAGTCACAGGATACAAAATCAACATACAAAAATCAGTTGCATTTCGATACACTAACAACGAAGTAGCAGAAAGAGAATTAAGAATACAATCCCATTTACAATTGCAACAAAAAGAACAAAATACCTAGGAATAAACTTAACCAAAGAGGTGAAAGATCTGTACACCAAAAACTATAAAACATTGCTGAAAGAAATTAAAGAAGACACAAAGAAATGGAAAGATATTCTGTGCTCTTGAATTGGAAGGATTAACATAGTTAAGATGTCCATGCTTCCTAAAGCCATCTATAGATTCAATGCAATCCCTATCAAAGTTCCAACAACATTTTTCACAGAAGTAGAACAAAGAATCCTAAAATTTATATGGAACAACAAAAGACCCTGAGTAGCCAAAGAAATCCTGAGAAAAAAGAACAAAGCTGGAGCAATCATACTCCCTGATTTCAAACTATGCTACAAGCTATTGTAACCAAAACAGCATGGTACTGGCACAAAAACAGACACACAGATCAATGGTATAGAATCAAAACCCAGAAATAAACCCACACGTCTATGGACAGCTAATTTTCGACAAAGGAGGCAAGAACATACAATGGAGAAAGGAAAGTCTCTTCAACAAAAGGTGTTTGGAAAACTGGACAGCCACATGCAAAAGAATGAAAGTAGACCATTATCTTACACCATACACAAAAATTAACTCAAAATGGATTCAAGACTTGAATATAAGACCTGAAATGACGAAATTTCTAGAAGAAAACATAGGCAGTATGCTCTTCGACGTCAGTCTTAGCAACATTTTTTCAAGTACCATGTC